TCTTCTGTGCAGCTGGTGTTGGATAAAAGTGTTGTGAGGATCTATCGCACATGTTGAGCCACAAAAGCCCCCAGTGACTAATTATAGACTGCAAAAGCCAGCCGTCCCTAAAGAGAGCTTGAGATATTATCACACCCGCACAGAGAGACAGTGAGACTGAGACCTCACATCCAATGAGAGAGAGACAGAGAGAGGGAGGGAGGGAGGGAGGGAGGATGCTGGTTAATCACAGTAAATTTTAAATGTAGACACATCCAGACAATAGCTGTTACTCTTTTGCAGTGATGACATAGTGTTTTGCTAATTACAAACTGCCTGAATGTTTGATCTCTATTTTTTAAATTCTAATTTAAAAATAAATAAATAAATACATGAATAGAACATTCAAGGAACACCCTAGCAACCAGACAAAACACCTTAGCAACCATATAGCACACAACCAATATGGCAGCGAATGTTATTCTTCATAAAATTACAGAACTAGACCTAAATATTTTTCTTTCTTTCTTTCTTTCTTTCTTTTTTTCTAGATATGTACTGCTTTATTTTGTAATTCTGTTTCTGCCAACTTATAAGGGTCTCTGTTTCACCTTGTGCATAACAACTCTTCTTGACCATGGTAAAATCATTGTAACGCACTGCCTCTTATTGCTTTTATTTATATTTTCGGGCAACACTTTAGATTAGGGAACACATATTCTTACACACAAACTCCTAATTTTCTGCTTATTGATAGTAAGATAGTTGTTGTAGTAGTTAAGTTTAGGTATTGGGTAGGGTTAAGGGATCTAGAATATGGTCATGCAGAAAAAGGCATTAATATGTGCTTTATAATTACTAATAAACAGCCAATATGCTAGTAATATACATGGTGTTAAGCAACTATTTAATAGTCAATAGTGTTCCCTAATCTAAAGTGTTACCATATTTTCTTGTCCATTAGGAGCAACTGAATAATATCTACAACCTCAGCTAACAAACATTGCTTCTTTCCATAAACATAACATGATGCCCTCACGTCTCATCTCACACACTCTTTACCCGTCTGCTGCAGAGACTGAAATCTCGATTCGTACTTTAGCTAAAGCTCTGGGCCATAACACAAAGTTCCTGAGGGATGTAAATAACGATGATGATAACAGACGCTTCCATAAATGAACATAAACATGAGCCACCAAATTACCAGCCTGTGGAGAACTTTAATTTTCTTTTGCTTTCTTCTCTTGTTCAATCCCACTGATGAACAGAGTTTTATGTAAATGTATCAGTGTGTGGTTTCATCTGAACACACACACAGATGCTTCTATTATCACTGGAATTCATAAGTATTGTTATCAGCGCTCTTCTAGCACAGAATCTCTCTCTATAGTGCCCTTACAAACATGCACGCTTAAATACTGTTTCCTAGCAGGATCATATTGATTCATCCCATGCATAATGTCTTCCACACAGTTTCCTGTGTGATATAGGCCTACTGTAAACTTTCAGGCCAGTAACTCCAGCGTCTGCGGTTTACAGCCGTTTTTGCTAAAATTAAAAGTTGCCCTCATTGTTTTATTAACTAGTTTTCAGCCAGTCTTTAAACATAATCCTCATTTCGGCGTATTCAGACACAATTAAGACACATTAAATAAAATCATCTTACTGAATGATTTGAGGTGAGTCACCAGCAGCCTGAAAAGGATTTTGTCCATTCCTGTCAGTTTTCCTACTAACACAAATCCCTAACGATCCAGCTCATTCCCCACAGCTGAGACTGATGTCACGAAACAATCCAGGCTGCTCTTCTTATATTAGATGACTAAAGTTTGACATTTTATGCTGAAAATCTGGTGCGTACCTGTGTAAAGTTCACTGCTACAATGCTAGGCTGCTGTGACGGTTGACAGGGTGTTGCTATGTGGTTGCTAAGGTGTTCATGGTATTTTTTTAGCATGTTGCCTCAAGATATCACAATAGGTGCGTCCCAAATCGCGTGCTTATGCACTATTCTATGACGTTTTGTAGTATAAATAGTGCGAGTAATGCGTTCACACTGAAAATAATAACCGAAAAAATGAAGTGTGGAATGTTGGACACTTCATGCACTCAATTGTCACAGCTTTAATTACGTACCGAAGGGGAAGGGGCTATGAGACTCCGATTATGAATGACAAAATAACCTTATATAATTCATACTATACATGGTTGAGTACATAGTGTATGAGTGCACAGTGTATAGTGCGTCATTTGGGATGCAGCTAATGTCTTGTTCTAGCTAATTGATACAGTATGCTAAGACTATTAGCTTGCTAACTTAAAGGGGCAATCGGATGCCCATTTTCCACAAGTTGATATGATTCTTTAGGGTCTTAATGAAAAGTATATAACATACTTTGGTTAAAATTTCTCAATGGTAGTGTAAAAAACACCCTTTTACCCCTCAGCTCTGTTTTCAGCACGCGGTTCTAGTCCATGTTGCTTTAAATGCTAATGAGCTCTGCTGACCCCGCCCCTCTCTTCCATGGGTGACGAGCAAGCGCCAACCTCCCGGTCTCTCTCGTGAAACCAACACGGAAGTGATTGAAACTGCATCGACTGGCCGCTAGAGGCTGACTCCAAAAGGGAGTCAGTCCCATAGACTCCGCATGTTAAAATGCCCAACTTTACAGCAGAAAAAAATATGTTTACAGCCTGGTACAAAAAGTGGTTTTGGTCTATATAGCTAATTTTGCCCTTCATGACAACTGTGAGGGGGGTGAATTTTTTTATAACTCATCCGTTTAAATTATATTAAGCCTTAAAGTTCTGCATAATTAAGGGCGTGGCTGCCAAGATGGCGACGGCTGGCTCCGCCCACTTTGAGCATCATAAACGCTCTTCAGAAACCTACGGGTGACGTCACGGACACTACGTCCATGTTTTTATACAGACTATGGTGACGAGCCGTTCTCATGATACTGTTTACTTTAGCCACGGAACTTGCTAACTAGCAAGTTATTAGGAAAGGCAATTTGCAAAGATTCATAAAATACCCTTATACTCACTTCTACAGTAGATTAAGCTGGATCACGAATGATTCGCGCGAACATAGACGCATTTAGGCAGATTGGGAATCGCGCATTCACTTCAAAACGAAAGTAACGTTAATCCTCTGCGTCTTCAGTGGCTCAGATGTGATCAGGGGAGAATTCCCTTCAGAAACAAACGAAATCCACTGCGAGTTCAGTGGCTCAGATGTCGGGAGTAAATGACGACTGCTATATTCATTATTACATCCAACAATAAAGCACCTCAATCGCTTAATCGGAGACATTCTAGTCTTCCCCTGCACTGGAGTCGACACAATGGCAGACTGATGACAGCTCACTCAGGGCGGGTCTAAGGTAAGACACCAGTCCAGTCTGTGCTGAAACGCTACTGTCAATCAACTATCGTGGGAGGGGCCTGTACAGAACTACGTCATTCTGTCAGGAATCTCAGAACAGCATGATTTGAGAAAGGGGATTTTAAAATAGGGATTTTATAAAAAACCACTGGGTGGATTGTTATCATTATAGGGTGGATGTTTACACACACTTCCAAAACACATTTATGTTCAAACGACAACAAAAATTAATTTTGCATCCGATGACCCCTTTAAGGCATTTAATTGTAAGCTAAGAAATAACCAAAGGCAAACTGATAACACAGAGAAAGATGTTTTGTTTTAAACACTTTAGCTTTGTTAATATGATGTGATATGTAATTTATAAGACATTCATTAACATATTTTCATGATTAAGAATAAAAACACCATCATGCAATGTTCTATCATTTCTTATCAGGCACTGAATTTAGTAAAATGGGGCTAATGGCACACCTTAAGGGAAATGTGATTTGATTGATTGCAGCTTTTTTTTATTGAACAGCACATTTTGTGAGGGAATAAAAGTAGTTTGTATTATATTATTTCATAAAGTAGTATGTTTTGTTTGGGGCAAAAGGCCCCTAGTATTACAGATACGATTACATTATCTAAAGTAATATGTTTTGCATAATAATAAAAATTAATACTTGTTCAGTACAATAACTTCAGCAAAGTTTGTACCATATGTTTATTTTGATATATAAAATAGTTTAATTTACTTTTATTTAATAAATACATTTATTTAAAAAATACTGAAGACAATGTAATGAAAACTAAAGATTCTGAATGCTGTAAATATGATGGCTTCGTTAGATTAGAGGAAAATCTAATTAATTGTACCTTTTACGCTGCTTTGCTTGTAGCCCTGTTGTTCCCTACGTATAAAAACTTTTCTCAGTCAATAAAATGGCTTTGTTGCGGAAGGGGGAAACTGTTAAAGTAAAGTTCAAATAGCATGTTTGGAGTGTGTTTAAATGATTCGTTCTTGCATTCGATCTCATAAGGTTACAGTATTTATTGCTGTTGGTCGGCTCTGCTGTGCTCTTGTCGTCTGGAGTAATTTACGCTGGCAGACAGCAGACCACGTTCACCTGTGTGTCAGCCATTTAGACAGCTGAAAGAGGGGCGGCCATCCATTGTGACAGCTGTCAGACAGGCTTTTACTGGATGTGCACTCATACCTAGGGATGTTCATACACACACTAACACATGAAAGCACACACTCACAGATGAATCGACGTCAAAATGAGGTGGCGACACAGAACATGACAGCGATCGGGTGACGAGTGATACACAGCTGTGTGTGTGTGTGATAGAGAGATAGCAAAGCACTCTGGGAAAGAATGAAAGCTGATTTCTTTGAGCTTTGACATTGCTGGGATTTCTTTCAGCTTCACAATCATCTGATATTTCTGATTTTGTCACTTTGCCTGCTTGTGCCGAGACAGAGAGGATATCGCCCATATATATCCCACAATCGCATTAAGTTGTGGGAGTCCTTATGTGTAAGATTATGTGCGTCATGCAGTAGGTATCTGCAGCAGTGACATTTAAACCCCTGAGATCAAATAGAAGCATTTCAGCTGTTATTTCTCTCTTTGTCTCATTTCAGCTTCCAGTGGCAAATACCGCTTACGCTGGCAGTGGGAAACTCCAGTCACATATCAACAGAGACCATCATTTGGGTCTCCAATAAAACAGGTACCAATTATGCAATAATGAGTGTTTTCATTAGTGTATGGACACAGACAATCATAATTTGACTCTAAATGTGTCATGTGGTGTAACCACCAGATAAAAGTAATAACACATTTTTCCTTACACCTTGAATACACATGAGCGCACACACATCGTAATCATTATTTTCAAAAATGTTTTAATTATAATTTGTCAGTCAAGAACTAAACTTGCCTTGTCAATATTTTAAGGGAATTAATGACCTTGACAAACAATCACGAGAATCCCCATCAAAAATATCAAAATGATATCAAAAATATCAAAAATATATATTATTTAAAAAGCACTAAAAGACTATGCTGAACTGTTTTAAAATAATCAAGAATCACAGTTTTCAAGAATATTTTTTTTTTTGTTACTATCAACCTGACCTTTTTGACATCAGAATGAATTTTAATTAATAAGTAAATAAAATTAAACATGCTTGTCATAGAGTAGGTATGCAAGTTATTGTATGTATAAATTGAACATTTTAAGTACATTTTTAGATCTGAACAGAAAATTGATTGTCATGTCCTTGACCTATGAAGCCGCGACTGCTGTCATATCAGCCAGGGACACATAAAAATACAGATAAAAGTACAGATTTAATTGGAGTTCCTAATTAAAGACTAATTCAGCTCCTGAGAGAAATGCCCTTTTACAACACATTCAAAATACTATTCATCTGTGAGTCACACCTTCCTGCAGCAGCCCCACATCCACCACCATTATATTCAATTCTGTTCCATTCCTTTCCTCTCCATTGGGAGAGCGAGGTGGATTTTCTTCGAATGGAAGAAATGGAGCCACAGCGAGTCAAATTCCAAGAGCCGGAATTGAATTAGGTCTGTGAGTGATCCGTGGGGCTCAGAGCTCAGAGTTCCTCTGATTGTGAGACCATTTAACAGCCTCCATTTTCTGCTCACCTTCTCTGAGAAACAGCCCTCATCAGAGCTACAATGCAGATCCACAGCGGCGCGTCTTGAAAGTAATTAGTCTTCAGCGACTCTTGAAAGAAACAGAGACTATAACATAGAGACCCTATTTATATATTTATAGTCTTGACCCTATTTATAGTCTTGAAAGTCATTAGTCTTCAGCGACTCTTGAAAGAAACAGAGACTATAACATAGAGACCCTATTTATATGCATTAACTCACCGCCTGACTCTTGCGATCTGGCCGCTGACGGTTAGATGCTCCCTGGATCACGATTCACTTCAAATGCACTGAGTCCACGAGCGCTCGAGAGCACTTAACCAGTGCATTTGTTATCCATAAAAAAGCACAAGATCTGGCGGGAATATTACAAGATGAGAACGCGGCAAACACATTCGATTACAGATGTTGTGCATTACAAAATGCTGAATGCATCGTCTCTTCCTATACATTTTCATGCTTTTATGAGTTCATTTCAAAGATGATAAATGCGCTGCAAATTGCAGAATATATCAGTACATATGAACTATTGTGAGCAGTATGTTTAATCTTCGGTTATATTTCATTAGAAATGCAGTCAGTTTACTTTAATTCACTTTTTTTTTTACACACATTTTGTTTCTTTTATGATTTTTTATTAACTTTGTTATCTAATGATCACATCTGTCTGTGAGTGTCTAGATGTCATTTGGTGCCATGTGTTTCTGCTCATTTGCATGTGATTTGAGCTACACTGAGCTGTCAGAAGCGTCATTAAACATTTGTTTCATGTTCTTTTTTTTACTCGTGTATTTATAGAGACACACAAAGTGGGACACGTGGACGGTGAGACGTGGTTGCTGGGCAACATCAATCAAACAGGCTACTTCAGAGTAAACTACGACCTTCACAACTGGAGACTTCTGATTCAACAGCTGATGACCAACCCAACGGTACAGCACCCACAATGCCGTTCTTCCACCTCTCTCAGTCCATCATCTTTCCTTTTTGAGTATTTCCTTTGAGTTTTCTTTCGCCCTTCTGTCACGATTCTTCCTTTTCCTCATTCTCCTCCTCACTCCCATCTATCCTGCATGTTTCCTGCTGCATTATAAATGTCTCTGCTGTTCTCCACCGGCAGATCATCTCCGTGGGCAACAGGGCCGGTCTGATTGATGACGTCTTCAACCTGGCGAGGTGGGTTCTGTTTGTTACACGGCCCCTCTGGAAACATGCAGAGTCATTCAGAGAGCCTGAAACCTGCACTACTGATCCATTTAACATCCTTCACACCCCCACAGAGAGCCGCTGGACTATTCAGTCTGATTCAGCTTTATTTGTGTGGTGCTTTTTATTGTCACAGTAACTTGCCACATTATTGCAGGGGCTCGTTCACCTACCAGTGAGAAAGTACTTGTGAGAATTGTGAGACAAAAACTCTTAGAGTATAAAAGCCTGTTGAGACCAAGTCTGGATTTTCAGTGCAAAACATTTCCAAAAGATTTCAAGATGAAACATTTCATCTCTAAGAACTTTACTATGGTTGAAATTAAGCAATTAAATTAATTAAATATATTGTACTAGCTAAATATAGCAATTTATTTTGTTATTCCATGAAAGTACAACAATTATGGTTTTAAACGATTTCATTTTTTCCTTGTCTTAAAATACTGGACCTGCATTTAAATGATTTCTTTTCATAAAAAAGTATTTTCAGATGTCACTTTTGATAATATTAAGCTGCATTTGTGGATGACACTGAGTGGATGAATCTTGAATTTCTAAAACCTTATTTCCCCCAAAAGATTATTATAATAATAGAAGATTTTATCATAAATGTCAAAGAACAGACAGGGCGCTTATACCTAAAGTTACAGCAGAGAGCAGTGCAAATGGTTCTTCATGTCCTTGGGATTTCAAAAGATTACATCATGACTGACGGATCTGAATGCAAGTCTAAGTGTTGCTAGAGTTGAACATTTATTCAGTCTTGGTATTAACGTTCATCTCAGGTCTGATCACATGTCAGCCGAGACATTATTTTGGATGAAATTCCAAAACGACTGTCTCATTAGTTTTCTATATAAACTGATTGTTTCACATCCTCTGAGGATGCATACATCCATAGCACTCTCCAAGTGGATCAAAATAGCATCACCAGACATAGTGTTCATATTCTGTTTGATCTGCTGATGCCAGAAGAATCAAAAGGATCAAATCCTGTCATGTTCACCAGCTGTTGTCTGTATGTGAAATCTCCTTGTGATATTTATCTGAAGTGGACCGAAGTAATCAATCTAAGAGAATTAGCCATTCAGCAGTGATGTAGATGTGCCTTTGAAAAGACCTAAATTGCAAAGGTAAAATATTTTATTTTGGTCAGCATGAAAGGATCTTGATGAATCCATCCATCACAATTGTAAAGAACAGTCCGATCCAGTCAATTTCAGTAAGACCTTCATTACTGACAGATGCAGTTCTTGCTGTAAGTCTCTTTTCTCCTTTAGCCTGGAGGCGTTACTGAAGAAAAACCCTTTAGCTCATCAAGATGAGACCTGCAGTGAGACTATTGAGCCGTTACAGCGATAGTGGATAATAAGAAAGCGAGGGAAAACCTCGGTGTTCCCGCCTTTCCACTGCTGCCTCATTGTGTCAATCCTTCAGAGCTTCATCAGCTGCTGGAAACTCACGAACGTCCATTAATGTGAGAAGAGGAAGAGACAGAACGATAAAGGTAGATAGAGAGAAGAGCGCTGCTCTCTGATAGAGTGTCCTCTGAAAGTTTATATTGCCACAGGCTGCCAAACTGCCATTAGTCCCTTCAGGAATGACTGTTCTCCCTAAGGTCCTCTCTGTTTAATACAAAAACTCATTCTGCTTAATGAAAGAAATATTCAACCGCTGGCAGCTAGAATCAGTAGGCAGCCAAATCAACGTTTGAGTATCACTGATGGACTTTCTTTTTTTGTATTTTTTGTACATTGCATTTTGTGTATTCAGGTGCTGCTTTGTACAGATTGTGAAATTCATTCATTTTTATTCTTCCACCAAACTAAATAAGGAAGCTGCCAGATGCTCTGCTAGTATTAGCACCGCGGTTCATCACACTGAAACGACAGGCTCATCTGCTGGCGCTGTTTCCTGAGCATGCCGATTCAGTCAACTGATGACAAACCCGCAGGGAAACTTGTGTTTATTGCCATCACGTTGGGCAGAGAATTGAAACCTGTTCCCCTGGATTGTGCTCCGTCATGTTCATTTAGTCTGTTTATTCGGCTCGGCCTTGTTTACCGAAGAGCTGGATAATTGAAACTTAACAGGACTGAAGGCAAATCTTTTTGTTCCTGAGTTTTGATTTCAGTCAGGTTTGTACATATTGTTTCTCTCTGCTGTTGTTTACAGCTAATCCTAATAAATAAGAGCGGATGTTAACAGGATATGTCTTATTCAACCTCAGGGCTCAGATCTGTGGAGGTGATTATTGGCTCTTATGTACTTGAGAAGCGAAAATGCCAACCTGCATATTAAAAACAGCATCATCCTTAATCACAATGTGTAGAATGTCTTGTTTCTCTGTTAATTACTTGGATGATGAAGAGTGTTCATATTACTGCGGGAACTGAACGGGCGCTGCTGCCTCAAGTGATGTTACCTAATTAAATGCCCCTGATTCTCATGGGAGTCACTCACACATATCAATAGCAGAACAGAAAGCTCAGTCAGCCTTTATTGTGATTATGAATTACTGGATCAATTGAGGAGAAAAAAAGCAGGCGTTAGTGAAGCCTAGTTTAAGAATAAAAATCATATTTCAAGTGCATTATTAATTAATGAACATAATAATTGGGTTAATTGCATAGCTTTTGCATCTTTCATTAAAATATCTTTAAAGCACAGGAGTAAAACAAGAGTTATTAGAATATTCTCTATTCCCAGCTCTACAGAGATTTTGGGTTAATTAAAAATGGGTCACATTTCAACTGATATTGAAAACAAATTAAATTACGTGTATATAATATAGTGATTCTGCGATGAACTCAGACAACAAAGGAGAGAGGATCCAAATCCAGATATACTAAAAATATGGATAAACAAAAGACTAAAATTGGGAACTAGGAAATTTAGAAAACAGAACAGCACAAACACAGCAAACCCCCCAAAAAAGACAAGTAACCAATACAAATGCAAAGTCATAAAATCTGGCGTAATAAGACAAAACACAGGTAGAATCAATCAACGAATAACAAGGAGAAACAAGAACAAGAACTACAAGGCAAACTACAAACTAAAAGACTACAAAAAAAAAGCACAAGGAAGACAAACAGGAAATACATGTTAATCTGGGTTTAAAATGAACTTTTTCACTTTGCCTTCAAACATTTTTAAGTTAGCGGCCATTCATAACTTCTACTGGCCAAAACAAAAATATCAGAAAAACTAGATTATCATGACTGCTTAGATTTAAATATATTAAAATAATATGTCAATCTGATTCTGAAGGCTATCAGTTTTATGAATTGTTTGCGAATACCATAAAAATGTAATTAAATATAAATAAAAATTCTACAAAATTCGATGTGATTTCTCATATAAATACATATGGAAAATAAATTAAAATGCTTTATGGTAAACACATTGAAGATTAGCGGACAGGCTGTCAATTTATAAAGTGATCAGCTGTTTTTTAGCTTGGGTATGTAAACTCTTTTTTACAGAATTTTACAGACATTTCTCGTCCAGTGTGTCCCTACTTACTTACTTACTTATTCAACACATTATAGTGTTAAAACATAAAAATTTTCAGTTCTACTAAACTAGATTAAAGGAATTAACAGTTGCTGTTAACAGCTGGCTGTCGTTACTGCGATCACTAGCTACTTGTCTAGACACCCTGCGTTTTGAACTTCCATAGAAATGCTCATCTGTTTCTAACCTAACATTAGCATCATCAGCAAGTTGTTGCCATAGAGACAGAAGGTTTGTTTGTGGCACCTGTAAAACATCACAACACCTGTCGACAATTCTGTCATTTCTCACACAGCAGCGAGAAAGAATTACAAAACGATGCTAGGAGAGTATTTTAGACTTTTTTCATATTCTTTCTCTTTGACACAATATTGTTTATGCACATAGAGCGATCTCATTTGACTCTGAGTCTCAGTGATGGAGTTTCGTAATAGGCCTGTTTGAAATGCTCTGCTAAAGCTCTGACAAAATGAGCTACAATTACAGGCCAATTTAGAAAGTCAATGATTTATTTAGAAGACTGTTATGTTACTCATGAGTTATTTCAATGTCAGTGACATTTGCCTTGTTTAAAAATGAAACAGCTTTTTCATTTAGATGTAAAAAAAATCCAACGTGTAAATCATGTTAAAACAATTCCCTCTGTGTTCAAGAGCCACATACTGTTATTTTCAACTCGTTGACCCCGTGTGTGTGTGTGTGTGTGTGTGTGTGTGTTTTCACGTCCCAAAAGCATGAGAGTGATCAACTCGTTCATTACTGTGCTCACTAACAGCAGGAAAAACGTGAGTGCCTCATGACAGTTTTATGGTCATGTTGTGTTCTTTTATTTTTAATGAAAATTTCGCCCTAAATAATGCAAAAAGAAAAAGAAAAGGGAAGGTTTTATGGAAAGGATAAACTAAATGGCCTTATTCCAGTCGCTACTGTTGGAATGTGGTAATAATGGAAGTGTCTCTAAATATAAATGACAACCATTATGTCATATGCTTTATTTTTCCTCTGAAGAAGCACACTTTAATAGTGTATACACACTTTAATAGTTAGTTTCTGTTAAAGGCTATATATATATATATATATATATATATATATATATGTACGTGTGTGTGTGTGTGTGTGTGTTTATATACATGATTTGCAGTCATTTATATGCTAATGTGTCTTGAAGTGCTGAAGCTCAAGGAGAAACATAACATAATTAATGCACATGCAATACAATAAATGTGAGGATTGAAAAGCTCTTGCCTCTGTGACAAGATTGCATCTTTCATGTCTTGTTCTCACATCAATCAGGAGAATATATATTGAATATTTCCATGTGATCAGTGTGAGAGAATGACAGTTGATGAGTGTTTCAAGTGCCTTGGCATCATTATAGGCTGATTAATTGTTTATTGTTATACAATTATTTCTCATTAAACAGTTTAATGCTTTATTCTGGCTAACGACAGCTTGGATACAAACAATGGCGTGCGCAAGTTGTTCTACTCAAGGTTTAGACACAAAATCCTGAAATGTTTTGAGATAAACACATATACATGTGTTAATCGTGGTAATAGCTAAATTATTGACTCTGAGCTGAATTATTGATTCGAACTGTTGAATTCTTGGAAATTAATACTTGCCTGGGGTGCAGCTACTCTGCTTTGGGTCTGCACTGAATGTCAGCTATTCCTGATTTTAATATTTTGAGTTTTGCTCTTGTTTTAGGAATATTTTGGATTTTTTAATATCACCGAGGAAAGATGTTATGCTGATATCCAATTTGAAGACTCTCCTTTCTTCTGTAATACTGTATGTTAACAGGCTGTTCAAAGGAAGAAATACATGGTTTCCGATCTCAATTAGACACAGACCTCTTTGAACACCTTGAGCTAAAACTCTTTTCAGTTAAACAGTATTCATTTCACGAGTTCACACTTTCTTATAATTAAATAAAGGTTATGCGTATTTGGCGTGCTGTCCAGGGAGAGGGCTCCGAGCTCGGCAAGACTCCAGAGCCCGGGGCCCCCCCCCCCCCGTGGCGGAGGGATGCTGAAAGACGAGAGATGACGAAGGTAGGACGTACTTGGTTATTTATAGGCGTTTTCTTTTGTGCTGATTGGGTAAATGGTGTAATCACTAATGATGAACTGGCCGTGTTAATTATCTGTGCTTGCTCCTCCCGAAATTTGTTTATAAACATCACTTATCTTTCCTTGATATCCTAAATGCATTTGCTACTTCACCATGCAGATGTTGAAATAGTTTGTTTTTAATTCTTCACAGCCTCATATGTCTCCTGCTAATGTTAATGCAAATCAGTTTCTCTGCAAAATGTGAAAAAACCTCCTTGGGTAAGAGTGGGTGTCTGTGAGTAATTGTGATTAATGTCCCAATTAAATGTGTGTTGGGTGAATCTGTCCTTGGGAATTTAATGAGTCCGTTTTCAAGTCTGATCGCTTCCTTTTTTGCCTGACCTCTGATAGGGAGCGCTTATGTGTCCTGCATGAAATTGTCAGAAATTAAGATTCATTTCCTGCATTATGAGTCAGAGAAAGGCCACAGCGCAGGTGGAATATAAATACGATCTCAACTAGATTTTTAGATTTTCTGAGTGGTGCTTGCATATGCAAAACTCATTCCTATGATGCTGCTTGGGTTTCTAGAACGTTGCCAAGGCATTTGGGTGGGCAAAAGTGTGCACCTTAGCAAAAACCAAAGCACTCGCTGGTTTCAACGCTCTTGGAAAGTCTCATCTCTCTTGTGTTTTTGCTCTAAGGATATCGGCTGCTTCTCTTTTTTTCCACTCTCATGAGATACTTGTGCGAGTTTCTAAAAAGACTTAAAGGAAAGTCGGTAGGGAACATGGATTGAAAATGAATGGAGGAGGTACTGATGTGTGGCAGAAACACAGTGTCTCATTTGACTAGAGCCCAAGGTCCTGCTAAAGTACTTCTGGGATTTGATATGCCGCTCCAAATGACAGTGAATATGTGCTGTTAATACTCATGTCTGTGTTTTAGAAGAGATCTTATGTTTTATGGATTTATGCAAATTGAACACGACTGTAGCCATACAGGAGAAGCTGTTTTTTGTTTCTTACAGCACATTATGACTTCCCACACAAAGCACAATGCCTGGCAGTTATTCTAAATGAATAATGATGAACAAAATGAACTGTTTGTAATCAAATGTTAACGACATGTCTACCAAAGGGGAAATATGCATAAAAATTAGCTGCTAGTGTCTGATCCTCGTACTCTCTTTTTTTTCTCTAGAGCGGGGTATTTGCCCCAAAACGTCCCCCTGCAGATGATCTCATATTTGTCTCAGGAGACCGAGTTTCTGCCGTGGCACGCTGCTAGTCGAGCTCTTTACCAGCTGGACAAACTCCTGGACCGCACTGAAGACCACAGCCTGTTCAGCGTGAGTCTGATCTCAGATCAGTTTGGTGTCTGGTGTATTTTAACCTTGACTAGTGCAATAAGAAAGACACAGCAGATATCTAGCAGCACGTCTCAGAAGGCTCGACTCACCACCAGACAGATTCAAAACTTCCTCTGATCATCATCCAAAACATCAGTCCAAAATATTTCCAGACACAATGCCTGTTTGCTGCAGCATTTTAAAAAAACTGACACATACTAAAAATAGAGTGAAATCTCCACCATTGCTTGTGCTTTATTGGCAATGTTCAGAATTGCATACTACTCATACGGTTTCTACAGTATACACTATGTATGTTATTGGAAGTTTGTACCAAAAAAATAAAGCACTATGAGCATTTTTATGTTTTTAAAGATAGTATGCTGTATGCAGTGCAGTGTACTAGTATTCTAACACAGCCTAACATAACAGTGTCAGACTCTTTCTCTGTTCCTCTGACTTCTGTCTTGCCTGTCCGCCTGCTTTCATATTCATTTATCACTTTGTTATTCAGAATATCACTCAAACGCCTACCCACAATCCCTCAGTGCGCATGAGTCATTTCTGCCCCTCCTCTGTAATGGACGACCCTTTAGTGTCAGCAGTGAGAGTGTGATGAGTTTAATAACATCTTCTCTCTATTTTTCTCCATTACTGTGTTTACTGTGAGACAGAACAGATATTTAGAATGTAATGCAAGACATGAAACAGCTGGAGCAGATTAGTCAGGTGCCTTCAGCCATGTGGCCAGGTGTCTCAACCTGTCAGACCAAACCCCTCTCTGTGTGTGTTTGTGTGTGTGTTTGTGCTGGTCAACAAGAATACGTCACTCAATTGCTGTAGAAACAGCTTGACAAACACACCTGATCAGCTGTATGGTCCACCACAGTATGGAAAACAATGTCCTCTACAAGCGTTTATGTGCTTTTATCCATGTAAGTGTGTGTGTTATTAATTGAATTGCGGCATAGCTGGGTCTAATTGTGATCATTCAGTCGTCTCAGTAAGAGGGCATGAAATAGAGCAGTCATGCTAAATTAGCCATGACATTACCTGCTGCGACATTTCCCTCTACCGTATGGCGAGTCAAAACACGCACACACACACACACACACACACACACACTTATAATGTATATAATAAAAAAAACTATACAAAACAACTCAATATATTAAACTTCAGACAACATTTTGTCTCCTCTTTTCATGAAGACTCATCTGTTTCTGTTTGGCAAGACTTTTGCATTAGTAAATACTGTAATACTTTTTTTTTTTAAAGCTTATTCACACTTGTTGCCTTCTCTAGTGCAGCTCAACTAGGTCTCGTCCCATTCGTCGATATTTGTGATATCACAAATCCCAGAAAATATGCGTTGTAGTCCAAACGAGTCGTTTGTTGTAGTTTTTGAAAAGTGAAATAAAATATCTCCTTTTGAATTGGACTTTGAGATTTGTAACTTTGCAGATCTTTTTTATGCTCAAACAGCAACATTACAGACTTACTAAAGTTGAAAAAGTATAATAGCACCCCTTTAAACATTCCTAAATTACCCATTTTTGCTTAGTTTTCATAATTGGTCTGAATGGACTTGGGAGTTAGCTTTGTTCATTTACAAAGTACATCAAAGTGGTATTTCAAGAGAAAATTAAATCCTGGTCTCACTCTTTTTCTGCCTTTTGTTTTACACTTTGTTTTGTTTTGTGTCATCAGGACTATGTTCTAAGACAGGTGGAACCGAAGTATCACAAGTTGGGCTTGCCGGCTGCTTCCCCTGACGGCTCCTTCATGCAGGTGGCTTATCAGGCCGAGTGAGTCTTGAATTTCATATTTCTTGAATTATGTATTACAGTTATAAACTTATATGTAGTCTAAGTAAGGACACTGAATTGCAAAGTGCAAGCCAGACATTTTCCACCTCAGAGATGGGAATGACCTCAGTAGACATGTATTTAATTTTTCATTTTCCCCTTCCTCCATCTTTAGCTGCTAATGTACTTCCTTCTTTCCTCCTCAGAGAGTTGCAGAGAGAGGTGATGATGCTGGCCTGCAGTTTTGGAAACAAACACTGTCACCGGCAGGCTGTTTCTCTCATTTCAGACTGGATTTCCAGCAACAAGAACAGGTGAGCAAATTCACAGAATGACAGTACAGAATGATACATTTTACAGAATGAGAATATTGCAAAATATGGTTGGTTATTGTTCTGTATGTTCAACCCTGCCAAGATTCATACAGTAGGAGCTTTATTCCAAGTGTCCATGGCAACACACATTTGTTCATCTAATTTGTTTTCCCTGCTTCCCACAGCAATGTTCACATTCATGTATGCAGGATCACACTGTCAAACACACCATGCCACCGGCAGGGACTAATGACCATAATGGAGAATAAACAGGATTGTGGGTGTATGTTCTTACTCTGCCAAAGATATTGTGTTTGCCCAGCTTTTAGGATTTTTATATATATATATATATATATATATATATATTTGAGCCAAACAGTTGGCCGCATGCCTACAAACACATGAAAGACCACATACACAGTACACACTGGCAACCTCAGTCAAATAGGGGGCGGGTGAACCAACTCCAGGGTAAGGCTAAAAGTACGTAGCCTAATGGTTAGCGATGACGAATCTGAACACCTCTGATTGGCCACTGCATTCATAAGCTCTTTGCTTGACTTTGCGTTTCTTGTTTTGTTTTGCTTCAATAATTTCTTTGCTTCCCTTTCTGTTCTGTTTTGTTTTGTTTTGTTTTGTTTTGTTAGGACTATGTTCTTAGACAGGTGGAACCGAAGTATCACAAGTTGGGCTTGCCGGCTGCTTCCCCTGACGGCTCCTTCATGCAGGTGGCTTATCAGGCCGAGTGAGTCTTGAATTTCATATTTCTTGAATTATGTATTACAGTTATAAACTTATATGTAGTCTAAGTAAGGACACTGAATTGCAAAGTGTAAGCCAGACATTTTCCACCTCAGAGATGGGAATGACCTCAGTAGACATGTATTTAATTTTTCATTTCCCCCTTCTTCCGTCTTTAACTTCCTGCTAATGTACTTCCTTCTTTCCTCCTCAGAGAGTTGCAGAGAGAGGTGATGATGCTGGCCTGCAGTTTTGGAAACAAACACTGTCACCGGCAGGCTGTTTCTCTCATTTCAGACTGGATTTCCAGCAACAAGAACAGGTGAGCAAATTCACAGAATGACAGTACAGAATGATACATTTTACAGAATGAGAATATTGCAAAATATGGTTGGTTATTGTTCTGTATGTTCAACCCTGCCAAGATTCATACAGTAGGAGCTTTATTCCAAGTGTCCATGGCAACACACATTTATTCATCTAATTTGTTTTCCCTGCTTCCCTCAGCAATGTTCATATATTTGTATGCAGTATCACACTGTCAAACACACCATGCCACCGGCAGGGACTAATGACCATAATGGAGAATAAACAGGATTGTGGGTGTATGTTCTTACTCTGCCAAAGATATTGTGTTTGCCCAGCTTTTAGGATTTTTATATATATATATATATATATATATATATATTTGAGCCAAACAGTTGGCCGCATGCCTACAAACACATGAAAGACCACATACACAGTACACACTGGCAACCTCAGTCAAATAGGGGGCGGGTGAACCAACTCCAGGGTAAGGCTAAAAGTACGTAGCCTAATGGTTAGCGATGACGAATCTGAACACCTCTGATTGGCCACTGCATTCATAAGCTCAACAGAATCGTGTGTGATTGGTTATAATGTGCAACACGTAAAAAGAAATATGATGCAACATGAGCAGATCTAAATTTAATGCCGCAATTGACACTTTTCATTCCATTTTAACTTTATTCGTGACAATAATAGATTTAGTTTAATCGTCCAGGAGCATTTTTGTCCAATTTGGTGGCATTTTTGTTCATTTCTGACCTGTGGCCTGGGGAAGGCTAAGTCTTGCCCAGCCTTACCAATACCTCAGTCGCGTTGGAAATTTGCTTGCTGGCTTCTTCAAAATTGTGCCCTTAGATTGACAGACAGACCTTTAATACATTCACAGATGCTTTATTACACATAAAATGTGTCACATATTGGCCTTGGCTTCATATAATGTGCATTTAATTACTTCTGAGGCCTCTAACTTGACACTAATAAAAGCAGGCTTCTCAATTTAAAAGCTTTTTTGACTAATATTCTTGTTTTTTCAACATGTGAAAAAAAAGAGTATACATTTACATTTTACATTTAAGGCATTTAGCAGATACTTTTATCCAGAACAACTGATTAAAATGCTTTGCTTTCTCCCATCAAAGTCAACAGATGGCAAGAAATTAGTTCTGAAATTCATCTGCCTTTCTTCTCCACTGTTTTTATGTTTTTAGTTGTACCATCCTTTTGATAATTAATTTGATGTATACAGTAATTTTGACAACTTTGACTACTTTTTGCATTTTATGGACATGTTATAACTGTTCTGAATTGTGCCTCTGAGCTGACTGCAGAAGTCTGAATCTGCCAGATGTGTCCTTCACTTGTCCTTTTCTTCAAAAATGACCTCTAGTCCTACTGGGACAATAAAAAGAATCTGTTCAGGTTGATATTCAGGGATGAGCACATCATAAAAGAGGAATGCGTTTGACCTTTATGTCTTTTTATGGTTTAGGTGATGATAATGCCAGAGGAATAACCCAGCAGCGTTTATGACCTGCAAAGACAAGTTTCAGATCACTGTTCAGCCAAAGACAAACGCTGACATATCCATCTTATGTGCTTTACTGATTATAAACAGGAAACCACAGCCTTAAAAAAACATTTAAAAAAAATGAAATTAAAGTCAGATACCTCTGTTGATGGAAATCGCTCCAGCTCAATTTTTTAGTATAGTGAATTAAGTGAATTATTAATACAGTTTTAGTCTCTACACTGTAAAAACTGACCGTGAATTTAACGGTAAAATACTGTAAAAATGCTACTGTAAAAACCTGTTAAATGGTTAACGGTAAATTCCCCTGCTATATACAGTGAAAAACTGTATTGGACATTACATGCATTGGACATTAATTGTACGGTAGTATACCGTTTTTGTAAGTGAAAAAGACCGTATAATTTACAGTTTTCTGTATTGCTAAATTGAAAACTCCCAGAGGCTCCGACGGCTCATCCAGAATCAGCAGGTCTTTATTGCGCTTTGTTTGAGCAAATCAAAAGTTCAGTCATTGTATCGCCGCGGCTCCTCCAGAGGTTTAATGTTATTTCTTCTTCCTGTACGAATATTACATGCATCGCCTCACAGCCTGAGATGCTTGTCTCTCTGCGTAGCTCTACAGTAGACTGTTATTCTTTTCTGAGATCTGTAACCAGATGATATCCATGGGTCCATAGAGGGCGCTTACTTATGACCGATATATTGCTAGACTATATATATTGCATTGTGACTCACTTTGGGAGGCCTGCAGTGATGATTTGGGTCAAATTTCCACCACTTAAAAAATGATGACCTCTCCAAAGATCATCGAATCAGATCAGCTGGTGTTATTATAGACATTTTTCGCTGTGACAGAATTCAAGTGATTCAAAGTGACTGCAGACAGCAGAAGACCACTTGGACCAAAGCGGTCCGTTTTGAATATAAGAGTGTCTTTTTATTTAAAATGATATTTCCCGCATAGACATTTTTAGTGAAAAGAAGAAATTGAAAAAGAAAAAAAAAATTCTCACATAAGCATACAAATAAAAACATGTAGAAATACACTCACACTGTTTTTCATTTGTTCTTCTGGAGGTGAAACGCTGACTTGATATTTTCTATCTTTGAACAACCCTGAGGACTTAAATTCCTGCTGTTATCTCCTCCTATTTTTTCAAGAATTAAAACAAAAATTAGATGTGAACACAATGTGATCTAATGGTGTGTGAATAACCCTTAGTAAATGTTTAATGAACCAACTTGGTCACAGTGAGGAATGCTAATCACCTGCAGCATTCGGTCTGCATATATGCTAATCAGTGTATCACCATTATTAAATATTTTCTTTGTATTTATGCTTGTGAAAGAAAATAGTAAATTAATGTTTTTGGCTCCATTAATATAGTTGTAAATGTTAAAGATTAACATTTAAATGCTAAAATTAACATTTATTATTTATTAGCATTATTAGCTAATGCTAATAAATTACCATTTATTAGCATTTATAGTTACCTTGTGTCTTCACCCAAATGTTTCAGTCAATCCTCTGTCCCACAGGATTCCACCCAACGTGCGGGACATTGTGTACTGCACAGGCGTTTCTCTGATGGATGAGGATGTGTGGGAGTTTATCTGGATGAAGTTTCACTCCTCTACAGCCATCTCTGAGAAGAAGGTTCTCTTGGAGGCCTTAACCTGCAGTAACAACATCTTCCTGCTCAACAGGTCAGTCGACCTCATTAACAATGACGAAGCAACGAAATTCAAATAACAAGCTGCTGTAGCGTGGCACGTTTATCAGTCGGTCTCAGATGAAAGTTTTAGCTTCTTTTTAGCTTGGAATCTCAGTACAACCGGCCTCTTCATTCAGTTTTTCATGATTTTTGGGGGGGCTTTCTGCCATTTTATTTGAGAGCAGGTGTCTGGAGGTCTCTGGAGCATGTATTGTACTCCTTGTTAATTTGTAGTCTACTGTACCTCATGAAGCAATCCGATTCAGTCCTTTCCTCCACATCATGTCACTCACACCAGCAGAGCTACACTCACTCCTCTGATGGGGCAGTAAAGACAATGGCTGCTATAGGAGCTTTTCCCCACAAGTCTCCAATGTGTCTTAAATCCTCTCCCAACTCAATAGCAGGATGAGGACGGTGACGGATTACACCCTGTCCAGTCCAGACGAGGATCTCAGAAGTCATACATATTCTAAAGCATGTTCTCTGAGGATTCACTGCAGGTTCGACATCTCCATTTATTCGGTTGCATTTGGTCATTGTTTTCTGGTTGCACTGAGAGAAAAAAACATTCCCATATAAAGAGTCCCAACATGACCCCTCTCTGCAGTGAGTGTTCAGCACTCAACAGGCTGATTCCCGTGGGATGGCTTCAGAGTGAGTCTGTTGAGAGGGATGTGGTTTGTCTCACTAGAGCAAGAAGATAAATAGCGCCGCACTTAGTAAGCACACATTTCAGTGCTCTATATTTAGGCTTCATCTTCATGTTAAGATACTATTCATCAAATTACAGTGAAAGAGGAACCTATTATTATTTTTTCTATAGTGGTAACTGCCTTCCGTGAAGGTAAAATCAATGAGTCTTTCTCAGATTGTAGAGTTCAGCTAGATTACAATATAATGCACATTTGCTTCTGTTTTATCCGTAGTTTTTGGCAGTGTTGGAGTTGAGACCACTGCATTTCCGTCTGAGTAAAGACAGAGATCAGAAGAGAGTAAAGTCTGAGTCAAGATCAAGACCTGAAGAGGGTAGAGTCTGAGTAAAGGCCGAGACCAGAAGAGGGACATGTCTGATTTAAGATCGAGACCAGAAGAGGATTTAGTTTGAGACAAGACAGAGACCAGATAAGAGGTTTGAGTTTGAGTCAACATGAATATATGGCCTTGGACTCAGACTCAGACCATGACCACAAAAATATGTTCTCTGACTGAAGGACCAAGACCATAAAAATATAGTCTAGTCTATACACCCAGACTCGAAACCGAGTCCAAAACCATATTTTCATTGTCTTGGTCTTGTCATGGACTCAGGATCATGCAGTCTTGACTCGACCCTCTTCTGGTCTCCGTCCTGACTCGGAATCAAATGAGCTGGCCCTTACTACAACACTGGTTACTGGTTAGCCTTATATTTGGTTATGCAAAACTATGCATTTTGACATGTAAATCTTGTTCCATGATCCTACTTGGCAAAATCATGGTCACCTTGTGATGGTAGTTGGTTTTATTTAGTTTCTTAAACTAACTGAAGCAGATCAATTATTGCTATTAGCTGGTTCAAGCTTGTTTAGGTCGTTAATAAGCTGGACTAACGGCCAGTGAGGCCAAGGTCAACCTGCTTAGAGCTGCTAGACCATCTTGACCTGTAGTTCTAAAACACATCTTGAAATCATTGACAACCTTGGATAGATATGGAAAGAAAAGTCCAATAAACCTTTCTCCCCACAACACAAAAGTATCTGAATATTAGTAAATTATGTGATGTGCAGTAGTGATGTGATGGTGTTGAAAGTGCCAGACATCATTGTTAGAAAAAACACTCTAACAATAGTCACGTGCTAATTAGAGACTGACACCTAGTGCTACAATGCATAGCATTAGCGGGATGTGATAGCCACATCGATGTGTGAAGAACCTGTTACTGAATTTAAATCAGCTCAAAGAAAAAACTGCAGCTCTTGACTGTCCTCTGAGAGTTAACACTGTTGCATGAATTCCCATGAAATAAAGTTTGTAGGCATGTATGTTCAATGCGCAGTTAGCGCCTTATGAATCATTGTTGCCTAGTAAGCATTTGGTGTTGCTTTATACACTTCAAATATCTCTCATTACGGAGATTTGTTTTTGTGTCAGATAATGAAGATCAAATTATGTATTTGACTTCTGCGGTAAATGATGGCTAATCAGGAAGTTTCAAATAGCATTTTCTTTCAACCTCATATCTGTGGCATGTTGTTGTACACTCCATAATTATCTCTGGATGTGAGTATAAATGAACAGGAAACCACTCCATACCACCCCTAATATGCCCAATTGGATTTGTATTGGCACATCCATGACTTTGTTCCTGTCTACCTGAATTGTGTGACTTCAGAAAGATCAGGCACTGTTCAACTGCACCATCATGATTCAAAGGTGCAAATAATTGAGTACTTTCCTCAAATGAGGTCTCAAAGGAGTGATTTTTAAAACCCTAATTAAATATAATCCAGTCTAAATTACCCAGTTAATAATGATTCTCATTTGAAAAGCCATTTAAGTATAAAACTACACAATCCGTGAGGTATCTGCCTGTATTTAAAGTGATGCTTAAAGTGTCGGTTCATTCAGAGCCCCCCAGGAACCCAAAGACTGGGGACATTTGAAATATTTCATGACTGCAGCATTCAGACATCCACCTAGTGTTCTAGTGTTGGACTTAAAAGAGTGGAGAAGACCTCTAGCAGCAGTTCATTGATTTCAGCCACTCTTAAATTTCACACAGCATGCACAAGCAAAGCCCACCGTCCCAGATGAGCAGCATGTGTGTGTGAGTGTGTGTGTTTGTGATATTTAATCTACCACAGAGAAAACTGTCCTGTGTTTGGAGTGATCTAGTAAATGTCTGAAGGATGGAGTGTATGGAGTCTGTGTGTAGTATTGATTTTTATGGCATGAAGTGAATTGCATCTCCTTCCTCCGTGTTTTTACTTCTTTTGATGATGTATGTTGTGATCCAATGGGCAGAAAATAAATCCTCTCCACTACTGGAATGTGTGTGTGTGTGTGAACCTGTTTTTCTATTCTGGTGGGGACTTAAACCTGAATACACACAGACTTATGGGGACTCGTGTCACGGTGGGGACCTAAATTGAGGTCCCCACGGGTAAACAAGCTAATAAATCACACATAATTAAGTTTTTATGAAAATCAAAAAATGCAGAAAGTTTCCTGTGAGGGGTAGGTTTAGGGGTAGGGTTGGTGTAGGGCAATAGAATATACGGTCTGTACAGTAGAAAAACCATTACGCCTATGGAGAGTCCCCACAAGTATAGCTGACCAGACATGTGTGTGTGTGTGTGTGTGTGTGTGTGTGTGTGTGTGTTTTAGCTGATCTCACTTCCGCTCTGACTAAAATCTCAGTAAAAGGGGAAAAAAAATCACTACTGTAATCATTTCCTATTCATTCATCACACTGGAAATTGAAGTTCAGGTCAAGTGTATTGCATTGTGGGATGGTTGTACCATATTGCAGTAAATGTAGTATGCTTTGCATATAGGAAAGGTACATACTGTGCACAGTGTACATTCTATATAATTAAGACAGTAATATGCTAGTATGCTAATCTGAACATGTTAATCTGCATGAAGTCAAAAGCCCAGAAAAGCAGTTGAACTGAAATAAGAGACCAAAAAACAGCGAAGCAATTACTCCACATGTTTTTGCAAATTGAAACTTGTGCACCGTGGCAGCGTCTTTATGAGAAACATCTCATTTCCTATTTCTTCCTTTTTCATCTACTTGACATTTCGCACCAATTTGAAGCGAATGGGTCTATCTGCATTTGATTTGGGCTTTTCAGGTTAATTACTTTTTGAAGACGCCGACTCACAGTCTTAAAATATATTTGAATAATTGTGTTTCGCCAGGCCTGTCAGTGGCTGTCTTTGCTGAAAACGGCGAAGAATGTGTTTTGTATCTCAGATGTACTCGAGCTTTAAACTAGCATAGGATCACAAAATTGAATACGAAAAGCATAATTAGCAAAGATATAACAAATATGATGACAAACTAAGGAAACTCTTATTTATTTGTCTTGTCCACAGGCTCCTGAATCTGTCCCTCACCTCTGACCTGGTGCCGGATCAGGACGTGATCGATGTCATCATACATGTGGGCCGCAATCCGCTGGGAAGACATTTAGCATGGAGATATTTCCGCGAGAAGTGGGACATCTTGAATTCCAGGTGAATGTGGCTTCATTCATCTCTGTTTATCAGTGGTTTTAACCTTCCTCTCAGTCCCTGATATGAATTTCACATTCGCACGCTCATAAGATATTTATTTGTGAATGTTATTTCTTGTTTGTGTTTGGAGGACCAGAGAGCATTATGGGAAATATCTATTGGTGTTTGTTTGCTTGTGGTGCTCCAGTGTTTTTAATAACAATGTCTCTCATTGGCAGGTATGGCGAAGCCTTATTTATGAACTCAAAATTAATCAGCGGCGTGACAGAGTTTCTCAACACTGAGGCTGAGTTGAATGAGGTGAGGCTGAACTTTTACATCATCCTGAGGCTAGAGGTACTCCTCTAATCAAACTAAAACAGCAATCTTCATGGAACATTAATACTTACAAACAAACTCTGGTCAGCAAATTATTGAGATGGAAAATTAGCAAAAATAAACTCTGAAGACTCTGGACCGTTCCGCTGGGTTATTTCCTCATTGTAACTGCTTGACCTTATTACAGGAAATGGAACGTATATTCACTTATTCAGCTTCAGTCCCAGAGGACACAGACTGCTGATGCTTCTCACTGCAGCGCAGCACTTTCTCATCCAGCTGACTTCGCCTTCCACAATTTATCATTCATACAGAGATAATATGAAGCCCCTAGGTGTTTTCTTAAACAGAGCATTAGCATACTGTCATTGACAATCAGCTGCTGCCAGAGCACTTCATCCACAGATTCACGAACGATCAGCGCTACATTTAATACCAGTGGTTTGGAATGATCCTTTTACTTCTTTTGAAAGTTTCTATGAATGAACAGCAATTTTGAAATTGCCAAAATTGGACCAAAGGAGCAGCTTGAATCCTGAATCCCAGTGCATGTTCATCCACGTAGTCTTCATGACCTCAGGAATTGAGAATCATTTTCATAATGCATTGCTTGGTAAATGGAGATTTTTTTGGTCGAGATTTTATGCCCTTAATTGATGTTAGAGACTAGCAGAGTTTTTTTCTTCTTCTTTTTTTAACAGACACCCAACTGTCCTTCCCTTCCAGAAAAACATCAACACCGATAATTCTGTTTACTTCAAATGCATTCCCACACCTCATTATCATAAACATCATTATCTGCTAAATAACATGTCAGGCATTTGCATGTAAATGCATTCTATATTCTGATGCTGTTTCACTGATGAAGATGCCACTTGCACGCATAAACACACAAACTCTCTACATCTGATACATCAGACACAATACAATGACAATGTTAATGATAATGTTAATCATTTCTGTTTTTTACCTTCTTTGCTTCAGCTGAAAGAGTTCATCCTCACCAGCGGGGGAGAGTCAGCACCTGCGTTTGCTCGAGCTGTTGAGATCGTTCAAACTAATGTAAAATGGCACATCCTGTTCCAACAACAGTTTTACCGGTGGCTGTGGAAAGCTCCCGATGGTTAGCCTCTATTAGCATGGAAACCCTATCAGACATTTCCAGGCCAGACACATGAGGACACTTACGTGCTATTAAAAATGAAACATTTATGGACTCTGAGAAGCAGCAGAAGTGAACTCCTATTTCCCTGCTGTTCATGAAACAACCAGGCACCGGCAGACCAAGACAAATTCCCAGAGAACAGTGTCACCCTGCTGGCCAGCACAGCCACTGCACCAGAGACAATATAAAGGGGAGGAGATGGACAACTTGTAGAAAATTCATTGAAGAAATTGCAATATTCAATATAGTAACTGAAGGAATGGAATTTGCACTTTTGATTAAAAAAAAAACGGTTCAATTTCATTTTACACCAGAATGTGGATTGACTCGATCAGACTGATAAATAGGTTTTTTTTTACATGATTTGAGCCAAAGAGGCAAATTTACTGTTCTCTTGTTGTCCAAATTGTATTCATAATATGAAATGTAAATTATTTTTAAAACATAATCTTGACAAGAAGTTTTGAAAATGTCAGTCTTTCCCGCAATTCAGGCAAATTTAGGAGATGTACATGTACGTTTATTAACTACAAAAGAAAGAATGGCCATAAAGGGACTTTCTCTACACTTTCTCTACACTACACTGCATTCTCTTCCCCAAAGACTGCTGCTGATCTCAGATGGAACAAAAGCTCTTTTAAAAGTTTAAATTTCAGTGACAAGCTACTCTTTGCTTTCCTTGCACAATCCATTTAATTGACTTATATTTTGTACAATATCAACTGAGGCCATATCTACCTTCATCAATCAGTTAAATAAAGGTAACTGCAGGTCATGAGAGGATCCAGAACAGGCCATTGTCATTTGTCTTTTATCATGGACAAACACATGCAGGCTTGTCTGATTAAGCGTCGATGCTAATTAAGGAATTCTTAAAGGTGCCTATCTCAGTTGCCTTGGGTCAGTAGTGGATTGAAAATGAGTTTGAACAATGGAGATTCTATAATATTGACACATGATGATTATATAACTTGAAGGATATGTATTTACTTGTAAGCTGTTTTATGTATATATATTTATGCAAAGTTAAATAGCATATGGGTTAATGATGTGGCACTTTTTTTCATTTTGTTTGTTGGTTTGTTTCAAGTTTTTTGGAATTAAAGGGATAGTTCATCCAAAAATTTTAATTTTTGTCATTTACTCACCCTTATGTCGTTACGACTCACCCATACGACTTTTATCTTTGGAATAAAAAAAAAAAAAAGATATTTTCAAAATTTTCCTCATGATTTTTGTCTTCTAAAGAGACAATTGCTTTATATGATAAACTGATTGATTTAAGCTTTTATTCCCATGTATCCTTTGATCAATGCAAATAAAGCTCAGTATGGTAGAAGCTCAACACAGAAGCTCAACAGTGTGCTTGATGTGCAAGAACAAACCTCAATGAATTTCATCCATCAAGAAAGCAAATTATGAAAGTATTTTCATTTTTCGATTAACTATCCCTTTAAGTTATTATTGATGCAGTTTATACAGACAATGACCTAAATGCTGAACTTCTGTGATGAAAGTGTTCAAATTCTGAATTAAAATGAATTTTGATATTTTTTTGTGGTGTAACCATTAAAAGACTATTATTATTTTACAATGTTTGCCATGATTATACATAATTATTGCTTTATAATTATATAGTATAATTATTTCTTCTTACTTTTTTAAAGAAACAAATATTAATATTTGAAAAACTTTTGTCCACCAAATCCGAGTCACTGTGGTATAACCAGCATATAGCATGTTTGTCATTTGATATCATAACATGGTAAAATTTGACCTTTTTATGATGTGGCAAAGGTTGTCAGGTGTCAAATGGTATAACCTGAAATTTAAGAAACTATTTGGAAGTAATGATGATGTCCATATCCCATTTATTTACTTATTTTGTTAACATTTATATATGTATGTATTAATAAAGTTTTATTACCTGGTGGTTGCACCACTTGACATTTTCATTAAATTTATTTTAAAGTTAATTTGTGTGTTTATTTGTTTTGTATATATTGCAGACATAAAATGTAAAATGAAGAGCTTAAAAATATATCAGTTATCAGTGCCTTTTCTACCTCACTATCCTTTTCCAATTAGAAAGACTGGCAGTGCCTTAAATAAACCTGTCGTAAACATTCCCATGATTTGGTGTCTGATTTTTCAAACAAGTCAGACATAGCAGGTTTGAAATGTTTCAAGCTTACCTAAAAGCAGCTGGAACCCTGGAGCCACAGATGTCGACACAGTAAGATGACGTGTTCAGCTTTATGCAGACTCCGCTCTGACTGTTACTCTAAAGTCACAAAAAAAAAAAAGTATTACGAATGACAGAAAAAAAACAAATAAAAATATTCTATTGCGCACTGTGGATGCCAAAATAATTCTGCATATGTATATTCTTTCTCAGGATGAGAAAGAATAATTTTGTAGAGCATTTAGAGAACAATGTGAGAACATTATTGAACCATAATAATAAAAAAAATGTATCCAACTTGAAATCATTTATGGCAGATTTTTTTGGTTCAAGCAATATGGAGTGTATAGTGGTTCTGTCTGAAAGGAAAATCTACCAGTCATTGGCTAATTGGATTAGTCCTTTACAGTGTCTGCAAAGCTGGACGGCGACAAGAATTGTTTGAAAAAATGATCACCTTTGTATTCTTTCTACCTTTCCATCATGCTGCTGAAGTACTGATAAGTCCTGGCTGTCCTCCTTCATTCATCTTTGCCTCCAGGCCACATGTTCACGTTTCGATCGTGTGGCTGCTGTCCGTGGTTCTGAATGACCTCCTTTACTGGAGTGAGAAATAGCAGTGAACACCATTATTGCCTTAACTCTCCCAGTGACTCTCAAAACAGTCATAATATGCACCGGAGACTAGCATAGCTATAATCTGTAAATCAAGCATTTATTTATTTATTTATTTTTTTTTATGTAGCAGTGAAAAATAGCTTCATTAGCTGCTCACAGTTGAAAATAATCTTGTGCCCCACAACAGTCAAGAAGTTTTCATTTATCAGTTGTCCAGTGTGGTTTTCCACAAAATAGAAGTGTGAACAAACCTGTACATACCTCTAAATGTAACCTACCCATAGAAGCAGTTTTCAAAATTCTAAGACGCAGTTATTTATACCCATAACAACTGAGTGATATGCTTAATATTGTGAAGACTTATTGCCATTGGTCCATGATTTTGTTAATGTATCTAACTGCATCTATAATATTTATGTCCTTGTAAGTTATTTCTCTTAAGTGGACTTAAATAAATTGTTAAAATGTGTGTGTGTGTGTGTGTGTGTGTGTGTGTGTGTGTTCGCAATCCTTCAAATAGTCTACCTCCTATAGTTTGTTTTCCCTAAACTACTCACAATCATCAAATAATGTTTTGCAATTATTAAAAATTATGCCAGTATGCATAATAAAATGAAAATTAGGACCATAGACTTTATTTAGTAGCTTGTATACATACTGTACTTGTATACATAGCTATATATAGGAAGTAAAATGAAGCCAAAAGAGCCGCCCAGCAGCACAAATGTGACTGGATAATTTGTTCTGATCTATAAGGCAACATCAAGGACCATGACAAAAATTCCAGAACATCCTTTCAAGGCAATTTTTATGCCTTATAAACCTTACCCTTACGCTTTCAAAGGGTTGTGAATAGACTTTATTTAGTAGCTTGTATACATACTGTACTTGTATACATAGCTATATATAGGAAGTAAAATGAAGCCAAAAGAGCCGCCCAGCAGCACAAATGTGACTGGATAATTTGTTCTGATCTATAAGGCAACATCAAGGACCATGACAAAAATTCCAGAACATCCTTTCAAGGCAATTTTTATACCTTATAAACCTTACCCTTATGCTTTCAAAGGGTTGTGAAATGATGTATTTCTTTTAAGGATGACTAAAGTTTGGCGGCGGGTCAAAGATAAAATTGAAACAGGGAGGCAGAACTGGAGAAATCACAAAAATACATACTATCATCCCTCACTATTACCAGAATACTTCAGCAGGTGTCAGTACTACGCTTTCTCACAGTCCTGGACTGGTTTCTTGGCAGAGAGTGCAAAATGGATAAAAGCTGCACAACGTGACGGCTCAAAAGCCAATAGAACCTATTATAATACTCTTTACACTGGGTGTGACGCGGAGCAACACGACGAGTTACCGATGTAAATGGTTTGCGATACTTCTACCAAGAAAAACAAAGTTTAAATTTGAAAATGAAATTCATTTAATGTTTTTTAAATGAAATTAGAAAATGATTGTTGTTCACTGCTCCATGAAAAAGTGGTGCTTCTGTAGCAAAAGAACAGTGAGATCACAGAAAGCCAGTTTCATCTTTGGGGTAACCTTTTCAAAAAGATGGAAACGTTTGCATAATTTTGCAGGTTTTTCTTCTCGCTCACACAGCCACACATACTTAGTATGCATTCAAATCCCTTGCATTTTCACAATATCAAACAATAGCTTTGCTAATGATCAAACAAAGTATTGTGCATCACTCAACCGCAATGTTAATTACAAAGGAGGACTACAATGTATTTGGGGAAAATAGTCCTTTTACATCAAATCTTAATGAATTCAAAGCATTTGACAAGTTTGGAAGAGGAAATGGCTTTGATGTTTCAGTTTAATAAATCAAAGGGAAAAATAAAGAAACAGTGCGTTGACTGAACATCTTAGGGGAAAAACAGCATTCAATCTGTCATTGTGTACCCTGAGCTCTGATATTGTGTGCTAAAACTCACAGCGGACATCTCATCTGAACAAATCTCAATGGAGATTGTGTTCAGAGGGCATAAATATTCTTTTACACCCACATTTCTGTTGTTTAATATTGTTCTGAATGTTTTGCTTAAGAGTGATTGTACTCAAGCAAAGGTAAAATAAATGTTAGTAATATAATTCATAAAAAAATTTAATTATATTTCTAATAAAATTGTAATACAATTACAATTAATGCAATTAATAAAAATAATGAATTCACATATGTCATTGTTTACTCACCCATAACCCTCCAAACCCAAATCACTTCATTTCTTCCATGGAACACAAAAGGAATGTTTTTGAAGAATGTTCATGCTGCTCTTTTTCTTATAAGGACAGTGAATGGTGACTGGGACTGCCAAGGAAGAAAAAAAAAAGCAAAGTAGACCATTAGGTTGTGTGTTCTAAAGTCATACAATACCCAATATTATGGAAAAAAAATAGGTTGAGATGGCATTTCACATT